ACAGAAAACAAACAAAAGCCTTAGATTGATGTTCTCATCAAGATGTATGAACAATTTTGTCCAGCTTTTGATTCCAATTATACTGAATCTCCCCGTCACTGTGCAGAGAGTTCCTACATCTTAGCTGCTGCTGATCTTGCAATCTATAAACACAACCTCTTTCTGTTTATTCAGAAGAAATATTAATATTTTCCCCAATTAAAAATAATTCATCTGATTTTCCTTTTAAATTGTTTGTAAAAGTATAGCTTTCAAACTTAGCCATACATTGAAAACAACTGGAGAAGATTGAAAACTAATGATTGCCTAAATGCCACCCAGGACAATTAGTCTATATCTGGGAAGTAGGTCCAGCATTGGGGTATCTAAAATTCAAATTTGTAGTCTGTTAAGAGAATCAATTCTTCAAGGTAATTCTTAGGACATTGCCTGTTTGTATTCACTAGCCAAATGCTCACGTGATCTTGAATTCTATGTAGAGTGGGTAGAGGAGCCCCTACATCCAGCTGTCTCCCTACTTCTTTATAGAGCCTCCTTTTGTACCCGTTGATGCATTGATCCCCAAGTTCCCTGTGTATGAGGGCACCCATCACATTGGATTAGAGGTCTCCTCAATAACCTTATTTGAACTTGTTACCTCTTTAAGGATGCTCTATCCCAATATGTTGCTGCAGGAGGCATGAAGTGTTGGGTTTAATGTATGGATTTGGTAGGCAGATAATGCAGTCCGTAATCTGTCCCCCATCTTCCTTTCTGATAGGATGCTGACATTTGACCTGGGCCTCACCAATCAGATCCATTAGTTCCCAAATTTAAATTTATACAAATAAAAAAAAATTACACAAATCAGCAGAGAAGTAATAGTTTTACCCTGGAAAAGTAAAAGGCAGTGCTGGAAGCAGCATCCAGTTTCTGGGTCATTACTGGTTGTGGTGTTGGGACAGGGAGCTTCGGAGTCTGGATACATGGTGGAAACATCAGTGTTCTTACTAGACTCATAGCCTTCCATTGTTCACATCATTTTATGAACCTAGATTCCCAGTCTTCTCTGATATCTGACAATCATGATATACTTTTGATGATTTTCTCTCTTTAAATCAAGCAGTCATTGTCTATGGATTATAATCTATAACTTTGATTAATACATGTCATATCATGGAATACTATATAAGCTACAAATACAAATTTTTAAGTGTTCATGGCATTGGGGAAGTAGGCATTGATACAATATATAAACTATAGCCTCAATTTTATTTAAAAATCTGTAAGGATAGCCACATATAAAAATTGAATGGGTTGGCGGTGGTGGTGCATGCTTTTAATTCCAGCACTCAGGAGGTAGAGGCAAGTGGATCACTGAATTTGAGGCTAGCCTCTTCTACAAAATGTGTTCCAGGAGGCCAGAGCTACACAGAGAAACCCTGTCTCAAAAAACAAAACAAACAAAATTGAATGGGTCTACATCAATCATTTATTGTGATTTACCTTGGTGCAGTAAGTTTACAGTTGAGCCTTATATTATTCTTTAGACTTGTCTGCATCTGATCATAATACTTTATTTACAAGACACAAAATCTGTTTGCAGTGTTGCCTTAAAGCTGGGCTTCCATGGCTGTGAACAAGAATATCTTGAAGTCTCATCTTAGACATGGCCAGTAGAGCCTTGGGCAGATGATCATGAATGGAATGGAGTTAGAGAAGATAATGATGGGAAAGACAAGTCTCGAGACCAGAATGAGTTCATTCACAGGGCTCCAACAGGAAAAGGCACATCAGAGAATAAGGTGGGACTAGAAAGGCTGTATACATTATGAAATCCCCGGGGAGAAAACACGTAGCAGAGGACAGGCCTCTTGCATCTGCTGCAGACGGGTTACACACGCTCAGGGACAGACTCACACATGAAACATAGTGCCTTGACACAGGAGAAACTTACTTTGTGCTATACAACAGTCCAAGATGCCTGGTTGTGGTTATTGGGAGATTTGAGGATAAAGAATATTCTCATGTTATTTCTTGGCCTGAGCACCCTGTAGCAATTTGCTGTTAGTTAGGGGAGAGGGATGGGGAAGGAGGGTGAGAGAAGTCGGGGGATTGGCCAAGAGGTCAATATGCTCATTGCTTATATTCTGTGGTAGTCTGAATGTAATTGGCCCTCATAAAGTCATAGGGAGCAGCACCATTAGGAGGTGGGGCCTTGTTGGAGGAAATGTGTCACTTGGAACTGGGCTGTGAGGTCTTCTAAGCTCAATCTATGCCCAATCTCAGTTCACTTCCTGGTGCTTGTGGATCAAGATGTGGAACTCTCAGCTCCTTTTCCAGCACCATGTCTGCCTGCACGCAGCCTTGCTTCCCTCTGAGACAATAATGGACTAAACCTCTGAAACCGTAAGCTGGCCCCAATTGAATATTTTCCTTTATAATGTTGTCACAGTCGTGGTGTCTCTTCATAGCAATAGAAACCCTAACTAAGACAATTTCCTTGGCAAGAAGTATCATTGTGCAATTACAGGAGCCAGGTAGCCTCTTCCTGGAGGTCTGCTCTGTGGCAGGGGTGGGTACACTTGGTCTCTGGGTCTCAGTGTTTTCTACTTGCCCAAACAAGGCTGAGAAAATGAAATCCAAGGAAGACTGGCAAAAAATTGGTGATTTTGGTGATCTGAACTCGTTAAAAAATTGATGTTTAAGATTTTCATACGTATATACTATATATTGACCTCTGTATCTCCCTGTTCCTGTTTTCTCCCCATTCCTGTGTGTCTCCTTTGTTCTCCTAGGTGGTTTGACTCTATTTGCATGTTATTTGCGCATATATGATTCTACGGAATGATGTAAAGCACAAGAACCACAAACAACAGGAAACACATTTGTTCTAAGGCTGGCTTAGTTCTCATAATGTTACCATCCCTTCTTGTATCCATTTTCATGCAAGTTGCATAATTGCATTCTTTCTGGCTGAAAGCTCCCATTGTGTATACACACCACATTTTCCTTCTTGGTTCCTCTGCGCCTGGACAGAAGGTTGGGTCCATAGTTCAGCCCTTGTGGGTAGTGCTGCCACCAACACTGATGTGCAAGTGTGTCTGTGATGTGTCAACTTGGAGTCCATTAGGTAAATACCCAGGATGGATATAGTTGGGTCCTGTGGTAGATCTACTTTTAGTATTTTGAGAAATTCATGTTCATAGTGGCTCCCATTCTCAACAACAGTATACAAGGGTTTCATTTTGTCCATAACCTGTCAGCACCACTGTTTCCTTAAAAACAAAAAAAAGCAAAATGTGATTTATTTCTCGTTATTTGTGTGTGTATACCTATGCACATGTACATTAGCATGTGAGTACCCATGGAAGCCAGAAGAAGATATTGGATCCCCTGGAGCTGAAATTGCAGGTGTTTGTGAGCCAGTAAATCTGTGTGCTGGGGACCAAACTTGGGTCCCCTGAAAGAAAGCAAGAGCTCTCAGCCACAGAGTTCTCTCTCCAGCCTCTTCCATTTGTATTAATGACTGACATTCTCACTGGACTGAGGTGAAATGTCAGTATAGTTGGGTTTATATTTCTTAGATGGTTAGTGAGGTTGGATACTGTTTTATGTTTACTGGTCTTTTTGATTTCATCTATTGTGAATCGTTTATTTCACTAGCCCATTTATTGATAGGTTGCTTGATCTCCTATTGTCTTATTTTTCAGAATTCTTTGTCTATTCTAGATAATTTTTTTTAATCATCTGTATAGTTAGCAAAGATTCTCTCCCATTCCATAGTCTGTCTCTTTATCTGTTTATTTGTCAATCATCGGCCTTATTTCTTGAATGACTGGGGTCCTATCCAGAAGATCCTTGTCTATGCCTGTGAATTGAGATGTATTTTTCCCACTTTTTCCTGTAGTAGGGTTAGAGTTCTGGTTCTTATATTAAAGTTTGTGTTCTTTTTAAAGCTGTTTTTTTGTTTTTGTTTTTGTTTTTGTTTTTGTTTTTGTGCAGGGCAAGAGATAACAATCTAGTTTCAATCTTCTACATGTGGCTATTTAGTGTCCCAGGACCATTTGAAGAGGCTGTCTTTTCTGCAACGTATAGTTTTGTCTTTGTTGAAACTTGGGTGGCTATAGGGATATGGGTTTATATCTGAATCTTCTGTTCTAGTCCATTGATCTATGTGTCTGTTTTTGTGCCAGTACCATGATGTTTTTGTTACTATGGCTCTGTGATATAATTTGAAATTTGGTGTGGTGGTACCTGTAAGAGTTTTTTTTTTTCACTCAGGGTAGCTTTGAGATCCTCAGTAAAATGTGAGGGACTAAAGCCACATTTCACCCACTAAACAGAAAAGAGTTTCTTGTGAGGACACGGACAGAAGGAGTAGAATTCTTTCCTCAAATATCTAGGAAAGGCAAGAACAATAAGGGAAAGGTAATAGATTGAAGAATTAGTGATAAAAAAGGGAAGGTTTTCATTTTTATGAGAGAGCTGACTTGAGTACGTGCATAAAAAAGCACGAGAGGATGGTGGTTGGGGTCCTAGCAGCAGGGACAAGCAGTGGCCAGGACAAGGCTGCAAGAGAGGAGGACTAACATGGGATGAGGACACACACGTTGCTGGTTAGCAGGAGCAACACATGCTGCATTGCATGGAAGAGCAACAAGAAAGGCTTGGGCCAACAGGGCCAGGCATGGGTGTCGGAAAACAGTGGGGTCTGCATTCTGAACCTAGGATGGTGGGGTATAAGGAGAGAAACCGTATGGTGGCCAAGTAGAAGACAGCATGGCCAAGGTCACAGATCTACAGGTATCCTAGCTAAGCAATACATCCCTTGCCCACATATTACAAGTAGATGTTTTCTCTCTCTCTCTCTCTCTCTCTCTCTCTCTCTCTCTCTCTCTCTCTCTCTCTCTCTCACTTTTTCTAAGTGTCAGATAGCTGAGTACAACTTATAAGAGCATGCCAGCCACCATTAGACTGCAACAGGAACAAGATGTTCTTCTCTGCAACAGGAACAAGATGTTCTTCTCTTACGCTGTTGCTGTGGGCTGGCAGAGAAACTCAGTGAGGAGATCGCAGGAATCGACACACAAGCGACAGGTGTTATTTTTACTTATCATTTTATATTTCAAATTGTTTCTGAGTAATGATCCCTGTAAATGTTTGCTCACAAATAGAGGTATGAGTTCTGTGTGGGTGTTAATACCCTCTAAATACTGGAGTCTCCCAGGCTGCATTGTTCAGGCAGGGGGCGGCAGCTATTTTTCCTACCAGCACAAGAATAAATACAAGAACAAATAACATTCTCAGAGAAGAGTGAAGTCTGTTTTACTCGGCTGAATGGCAATGTTTTCCATTTTATGACTTTTCTCAGCCTGCAGGCTGTTATTTTGCAAGGTATATTTAAGAATAATGGTGCTTTTTTTTTTTCTCTTACATTCTTTCTGGAAACCACTAAACCTATCCATAACTAAAACTCCTACCAGTTTAAGCAGAACTAACTATTTCTAGGCCAAAAGGCAGCCAACCACCCCCACTTAGCAGTCATTCTATAACCCACTGACATAGCCACAGCATGAGCCAGACTTTGTTTGTTTTTTCTTTTTTCTTTGGTTTTTCGAGACAGGGTTTCTCTGTGTAGCTTTGCACCTTTCCTGGAACTCGCTTTGGAGAACAGGCCGGCCTCGAACTCACAGAGATCCACCTGCCTCTGCCTCCTGAGTGCTGGGATTAAAGGCGTGCGCCACCACCGCCCGGCATGAGCCAGACTTTAAAGGAATGAAAGAATGCTGGCCACCACCATCAGGCTCCAGGGGGCTGGCATTCACCTTACGTGTATCTTCACACACAGGCACATTGCACTTTTTGACTTCTACATACTTTGACCTTAGAATAAATATGTGTGTATAATTTGAAAGCATATAGATTTATTTTTCTATTACACAGCTTTTTTAAATTATTTTTTCTCTCTTAGTCTGTCTTTGTCTCTGTCTCTGCCTGTGTGTGTGTGTGTGTGTGTGTGTGTGTGTGTGTGTGTGTGTGCATGTCTGCGTGTTGCAGAGGAGAATTTGCAACAGTCAGTTTTCTCCTTCCACTGTGTAGATTCTGGGGATGGTACTCAGGCTTGGTGGCAAGCACTTTTACTAGATTAATCACCTCTCTGGCCCTAGAAAGCATCTTTTCATGTCTATTTACTTTTTAATGTCAATGCAAAAATATTTCTCTGCCATAGAATTGTTTTATAAGTAGGAGTGTATTAAAAGGGGTTTCAGATCAATAGTCATCAACAAATATACTTTATACAAGTCACAGCTTTTGCATTTGAGAAAAGAAATGCAAATATAACTTAACGTTGAATTTGGTTCTCACTGACTCTTGAGTTCTAACTTAATAGTGTTATCCCTGAAAGAGAAAGTATCTCCCTGTCTCGGTCTGTATGTCTGTCTGTCTCTGTGTGTACGAAGGGATACATTTACTAAAATGGGTTCAATTTTCATAAGCAATAAATGATGCTAAAATACCACAACTTAATGAAATCACCACAAGTTGGTTTATTACATTTTACTTCTTGTATATCTGATTTTTTTTTTAAGCTAGAGGGAAAAAAATACCAAATGTTTATAGACAGATGGTTTAAACTTAATCAGATTAAATATCAACATGGAAATCAACTCAAGGTCTGAAAATTTCAAGAATGCTTGAAAAACTCTGTACCATGGCAACTTCATAAGACAGAGTCAAGGGGAGCGCTCATATTTCATCTGTCGGATTTACTCGGCAACTGACTTGTTAAGTGCCCCTCAAATAAGCTGTCTTGGTAGATGGTTGCCAAAGTGCATTTCTACAGTTAGTATAAATGTATTGTTTGACAGTTGGGATTTGAGAAGTTTAACTATTTTCTTTTGCTTTAAAATCTAGCTTTTTTTGGCATGAGGTTATTTAACTTAAAATTGTAGAATGAGTTCTAGGCTGGTGACTGCCATGTGTAAGTTCAGGGCGGGGAGGCTGTGAGATATTCGTCAACGATGGATACTCATCTGTTGTTCTGTAGAGTTAATTTATTAGTTTTGTCCTAGGCCTACCTAGAACCTCTTCTATTTTCATCTGTGGAAGCACACAGAGATCAGTTCAGATGGGGAGTCGCTGAGCTTTCCCTTTATCTAGCAAGGCACAATGGCCCAGCAGGCTCTTGTGGGTAGCGCCAGGGCGAGGGTCACACCAATGGTCCCGGTTAAACTGAATGGGTCACAGAATAAAGCCAAAAGTCATGAATGAATCTGGAAAAGGGACTGGTAGAGAGTTGGAGTGACTGACAGGAGGGGTGGGGGTGGGGCATAAAGGAATATGGGAGGGAGAAAGTAATCAGAATGTATTCTACACATATATGAGCTCATCAAAGAACAAACCTAATTAATGATTTTTTTTAAGGTTTACAACCAAATCTATTTGAGGATCCTAGACTACTGATGTGTGATACACAGCTCTGAAAGTTACACACACAGCACTGCTTCTTCTAATCTTCACTCAAAGCTCTCTCCCAGTGCCTGTCACTTTCCAGCTCTGCTTCCGGTGCTGTGTATAATTTCTCTACTTCTTCTTCCCACTTCGTGTTCATAGACACTGCAGGAGCCACTCGGCAACTTAGGCAGGGGTGGGAAGCCATCACAGAATGAACCCACGCGTGAATGTGGATGGGTGACCTCCAATAAGTACACATTGTCTAGATATGGTGACTAGCGACTTGGCCCCACATTAAAAATAAATCCCCCAAACAAAAACCAGGAATTATCTAGACTCAGGTCGGCCTACCCAAAGACAGCCAGGTCCAGTCACCAAGATGATTCCAATCCAGATATTTTTCCAAACCCACCATGTTGCTGACTATCTCCTGCTTTAGTTAGCTGTAGAAAATGATTTAAAGACCTGTGTCTAGATTGAGGAAAGATGTGAAAACTTTGTATACTCACCAGTACATTTGCTTTTAATCTTCCTGGTCCTATATGACTTTAAGAAGCATTTACTTGCTTATTTTGAAGATTTGTAATTGTGTGTGTGTGTGTGTGTGTGTGTGTGTGTGTGTGTGTGTGTGTGTGTGTGTATGTATCTGGATGTGGGGTGTGTAAGTGTGAATGTGTGTGTACAGGTGTCCTCAGAGTCCAGAAGAGGGCTTCAGATCCTCTGGAACTGGAGTCACAGGGAATTGTGAGCTGCCCAGTGTGCTGGGTGCTGAGAATTGAACTGAGGTCCTCTGTAAGGGTAATAAAATGCTCTTAGCCCAGGAACCATCTACCAAACCTTGGTGGGATGTTTTTCTAAAGCTGTAAAATCTCTTGGAGACTGCTGGATCACCATATATCTACATGCATCTCCTTACATGCCTTATACCATATTTTCATTGTTATTTTAAATAAGACATAGAATTTCTGTCTCGTCTTTGTATTCTTTCCTCCCTGAAGGTGAAGAAAATGATTAAAATGGTCAGATAGCTCCCATTTCCCATGGTTGCCTACTTTATTGAAAGGTATAGGATTTCTGAGCCTCCCAAATACCAAACTCAGTGGGTTCTGTTTCTGTGCCCCCATTTGGAAATGAAAGGACTCAAGAGGTTATGTTTTTTTGTTCTTTATTTTTTTTTTTAAACCTGAGGCACCAATCTGCCACACAGTCACCTCAAACAACGGAAGCTGCCGTGTAAAGAAGATAGCACCCGCCACAGAGAAATACAACTTCTACCTGTTGAAATGCAAAAGTTATATATGTATATATACATATATATATATACATACATACATATATATGTATATATATTATTTTTTCTTCCAAATATTTCAAGGTGACAACCTATTTCTATCTTGCAAAATGAAACTTTCAGCTTATGTAGCAGCTCCTTAGAGGTCATTTTGATGCCTTAACTTCAAAATAAGACTTCTGAAGGGAAGAAATTATAATTTTTTTGCTATAATGCTTTATTTTTTCTAGGTATTCTTTTTAATCCAAACAAAATGAAAACCAGTCAGCTTGATCACATGAGTATGACCAAACAAATTAAATTAATTAATAACAACAAAACATTTACTTAGCTCTGGGTTTCTGTATTAGTCAGCTTGTTGTTACTCTATGGATCTACCCGAGGCAAGATGCCTGGTGAAGAAGTTGTTTTAGCTTGCTGTGTTGGAGGCTGGAAGTCTGCCTGTGCTACCAGCCACAGTGAGGGCCCTGTGTTAGTTACAGCACATAATGACGAAAGTACTTATGCATCTGTGTGTGTGTGTGTGTGTGTGGCCTCTCTCCTTCTCCTTATAAAGTCTTTGAGACTCCATCATGGGAGTTCTAATCCAATGTCCTAAAGCAATGCAACCACTTCCCAGTGCCTCAGTTTCTAAACACCATAATTAAGTTTCACTGAATCTACATCATCCCAGCTCCTCTTGTCCCTCCTCCCCCCCCAAATTCATGATCTCTTCTTCAGTTATTATTGTTACAACCTCTGACTGGACAACCATCTGAACCCATTTAGCATTACTCACATGTACAGGTATCCAGACCAGCTGCTTGGGATTGGACATCCTATGCAGGCACTCATCCCTGGAGGAGACTGGCTTCCCTTCTCCCAGTAGCCATTGACCACCCTTCATCCAAGAGTGGCAATGTGTAGAATTTCTCCTCCCATGTTGGCATGGTAACTGTTGTCATTGTGCTGGTCTTGTTTAGGGAGCCATATTGTTAAGATCTCACGGCTGCATTTTTTTTTTTTTCTGTCATGACTAGTGGACACTATTTAGCAGCCGGTATATAGGGCCTCTGCCTCTTACAATCTTTCTGCTTGCTCTTTTCAGATCTTCCTTGAATCTTAGGTATAGGGATTGTATTGCCAGATATATCTGCTGGTGTTGGGCACCTCACAGTAAATTATTCTTTTCATTTTGACCTCTTTTATTCTCCATCTGTAGCAATGAGAGGTTTCTGTGATGAGAAGCAGGAGCTGCACTTATGTGTGGATATAAGAAAAACAATTTAGAATTAGAATAAAGCCACAGAAATACAGGTTTAGGAAAATCACAGTGTTAGGCTCTCCTCTGGGGTCTAAAACCTCTGTGGCC